CCCGTCTTACACATCCCGAATACTTCGTACATCGTCAACATCTCACAGAGGTAGAGTATGGCGCCAATGGCAAGGCGGCCCCGTCCATACATCGTCGTCATCAGATCCTCCACGTCGGCCGCGAGCCCTTTGTAGAATTTCTCGTCCAGGAGGACCACCCGCTCTTGCCGCCCTGGCCGTTTCTATGCCTGGCGCCCAGCGCCTCGGCCACCGACAGGGGCTCCTCCATGGGCACCAGCTGCGGGTGCGCCTGGTACGGCAAGACGTTTCGCAACGACCTTTTGCTCATGGGTTTGTCCTTGGGCGCCGCCGCGTCTTCCGCTTTCTTGATCTCCTTGATGATGTCCCGGATCTCGCTGTCGTCGCTCGCGACCTGCGCTCGGATGAACGGCAGGCTGGTCCCGGACTCGTCTTCGATCGCCTGCATCACGGGTACGCGCTGCTTGTACTCGATGCCGTCCAAGTTTGGCGCATGCTTCGCGTCTGGGACGACGGCAGGGTCGAGCAGCGCTTCTTCGCCCTTCTCGAGGAGAGCGTTGATGTCGAGGCTCTCGCCGGGCAGGATGGGCGTCGGGTGGCTGGGCGTGATGCACTCCATGTCGACTTCCTTGCGCAGGACGTGATCGATATCCACCGCGGAAAAGTACGCGCACGACTGCGGCAGATCGTTGATGCCGGCCTGCTGCGCAAACATGGCTCGCGTCCACACGTTGGCGACTTGCAGAGCCAGGGCGGCCCGATACCTGTCCTCGTCCTTCACTAGGTAGCGGATCTCGTCATGCACCGTGATGGCCAGTCTTGCATCGATGTTGTAGCGTCGGACGAGAAAGTCCATCGATACGATCAGGAGATGTAGATAGTCGACGCCCGACGACTGAATGGCCCAGTTGATTCGCGACGTCAGGTAGCCGCCCTTGCCAATGAACCGGCCCATTAGCGCCTCGGTGATACCAGCACCCAGCACCGGCGTCCTAGGCCGTTCCTGCTCGGCAAACTCCTCAAGCTTGTTGAATACAAACGACTCGGTGCCGCCGCGCCAGAATGGCCGCTTGTAGATGGTCTTTCTGTTCGTTTTGGTGCCCTTGGTGTTGGCATACAACTTCGAAGCGACCTCCATCGTCTCCTTCTCAGACAGGCCGGGGTTGAACTGTCGCAGCAGCGTAGCTGCAAACTTAAGACCGGCGCCGTAGATGCGGCCATAGTTGAAGACCTTTGCGTCGTTTCTTGATATGCCCAAGATCGACGCTGTCCGCGAGTGGAGATCTGTGCCTGCGGCCTTGTTTCCCTCGAGCGTCATGAACCCCACGGCGTTACCACCGTGGATCTTGAACGTCGCATCGCCAACCAGACTGGCAATCCACAGCTCTTGGGAATCGACATCCGCACCGACGAAGCAGTAGCCGTCAGGAGCCTTGACCATGGCTTTCAGCTCGGATCCCACTCGGTTCTTCTTGGCGTTGCTCGCGGTGAGCCACGTGTTTTCCACGGCTCTTCTCGTGATGGTGCCCATTGGAATGACCTGGGGCAAGATGAAACCGTGCGTGTCCTCCGGAGACCGTTTGCCCCGTCGCTTCTTGCCCGCAGCCTGGGTCAGTTCATCTTCGTAAACGACCATTTGTGACATGATGCGATCTCGTGCGCTGATCCAGTACGAGCATGACGCATTCATCTCGAGCGCCTCCTTGGCGTAGGAGTACTCGGACGAGAGGGTGCCGTTTTCAAAGTAGCTCAGATAACCCTTGGCCATCGGGTTCACGCAACGAGCAGTCGGCCCGTCTTTGTGAGGGAGCTTGAAGTAGGCGTGCCGTCTGTCATCTCGAAGAGCCGCCTCCGTATCGTCGAAGACGCACTCAAGCATCTGCTTCCCAGTGTACTTGTCGCATTCACCTTTGGGAACCCTAAATACCCAGCCGTATTTGTCTGACCAAAACAGCGGGTAGCCATCCCAGGACATTTTTAGCAGTAAAGGGGCGATGCGGGTTCGCACCGTGATATTGATGGGAGCGTCGTTTTTCGCAAAGAGGTCCTTATACCACTGCGGCATGCCAGGCTTCTTTTGTCGTGCGGCAGGTCTGGGAGGATCATTTTTGCGCTTTCCCTTGACCATACGGATCTCCTGGCCAGACCAGTCGAGCTGCATCATCCAGGGGTCGTTTTGCCACTTTTCCGGGTCGTCCTTGATCTCGAGGGCCTTGTCGGCGAGGCCAACGAGTCTCTCCTGAACGGCATCAGAGAGCTTGTGGTACGTCGCCTCCGCGTTGGCAATGTATGCGTCCCAGGTTTTGTTGACGGGCAGGATGACAGAGGCGAGATGTCGCAGGGCAGCGAAACTGACCGGGTGAGGACAAACGTCGAGGAAGTTGGGAAAGACGATCTGATACACGCGGTGCGTGATAGATACGTCTGCGGCGCAGTAGTCGAGGAGCATGTCGAGCTTGGCCACCACACCTTCGCGGTCCAGCTCGCCAAAGTCGTCGCGCATGGCCTTGTCGATGGCCACATTGAGGTGGAACTTGGCAACGTCACGCAGGGAGTTGACGGAGCTCCTCTCCACCCACAGCTCCTCCTCTTCCTGCATGCTCCGGTTGCTGAGGAGCTCCGCAAGTTCATTGTCGGGAGTTTGCGTCGCAACTCTCTCACGCAGTTCGCGGTTCTTCTTGTGCTTCATCCATGTTGGGCGTTGTTGCGAACACATGCCGTTGACAGCAACATGAAGAGACATGGTATCGATGAAGGCGTTCCGCGATTGCTTGATGTCGTACTCCTCGCGCACTCTCGCGCGGTCGTAGCCGACATTGTGCCCAACAATTATCCGCGCCTTTGTCGGGTCACCGAGGGGAATGAGTTGCCGGTCGTTTTTCGTCTCGCCCAGGAGCCAGGGCGACAGCCAGGCATACCAAGCAGTTGGGCTCGCAGCGCATGCCATGACGGAGAAGGGGCTCTCTTTCCATAGCGCCTCTGTGTCAAAGCACAGCATCTCTTCGTCCGGCGCATCGACTTGCTCTGTTCGACCGTCGGGATAGTACTTGGTCCAGCCGCTCTGCCGCACCCATTTTCTGGGCTTTGGAGGAACGCTGGAGCGAACGAATTGTTTCGCGTAGCTCAGGTATGGCTCGGCGCAATCGGATCCGAGCTTGAAGAAGTGCTCATCGAGAGTGCGCCCGTGCAGCTGGGGCAGGTCGAAGGCGATGGGCGCGGAGTTGTCGGTGTTCTTGCCGAGCAGATCATGCCGGCGCAGGTGGTCGCGCGAGAGCTGGACAAGCTCCTCGGGGGGAGGCTTGCACCCATCGGGGAATATTTGGTTGAAGACGTGCGAGCTCAGCTGCTGCACGCCGATCTCGTTGAATCGCGACTGTGATGGGACTGTCAGGTAGCGTCAGTCATGGATGCGCGCCAGCCTCCGAGCATTCCGACTCAATACTCACGGGCAAGGGTGGCTCGTCGCTTCAGGTTCGTCTCGTTGGCGACGTCGGCCAGCCAGCGCACATGGGCGCGCCATGCCTGGCGCCGGTAGGCATGGTGCCGGGCGACGCGGACGAAGCTGGCGGTGGCGGCGCGCTGGACCGGGCCAGCAGCGGGTGCGAGCGCATTCATATGCGCGGATGCGGCATACCTACTGCGAGGCGAATGTGCAGTTGTGATGGCTGTCTCTAGGTGTTGGGGACGCTGGCGAGGGGGATGCCGCGACGCAGCAGCATGAGGTCGAGGGAGGATGAGGAGGAGCAACGGGCGACGCGATTCTCAGCTCACCTTTGCTTGGGCTCTCGACTCTGGGGCGGGCGTCGGAGGCGTCATGCAGGGTGCAATGAGGGTGGGGCCCGCCCGGTGCATGCATTTGATCCTAGGCTCCATGGTTTGACAGGGCTCCTCCCGGGGGCTGCCAGTGGCTTAGGTGGTGGTCCACTGACAGCAGCCTGCCGCATTTGGTGCTGTAAGTTGGGACGGCGGACAAGACTGAAGCGGTCGACGGTGACCTTTCCATGAGGCAGGTTTCTATTGTCGCTGTGCGAGTGTCAGCTTGCACGGTTGGCACAATATTGCGAATGCGAACAGTGCCTGACTTCAACATGCTACAGAGTACCAGAGGCGCAGCGTGCTGGATCAAGTCAAAGAGCGCTTTCACAGGTCTGTCTATCACTGCATGATCCGTAGCAGGTCTTGGAACGCGTCTTGATGCGAAGCACAAAGTACGAGGTGCCAACTATAAAAGTCTGCCTTCCATCTCATGGCCTCCTTCACGGTAGGAGGCACAAGCCCACGTTGAGATAACCCGCGCTGCAGATGACAAGTCACCTCTCGCTCAGCCGCATGAGCGTGTACCATGATATTCGTGCAACACGACGGCCATCACGGTTACACACGAGCATGGAACGAGATTGAGCTGGTCGTGCGGAATGCTGCCTGGATGCTGATAAAGACGCAGTCTGAAATAGGATTCGCCGGGCGGTAATAATGCTTGCTGGGCGGAAATCAAGTGCAGGCTGGCAGGCAGGCAGGCATTCACGCTTCGTCGCCACCAGGCTCGGACAAAGTTCACGTTGCCAGGCTGCACCTATCTCCGGGCGGGCGTGGATGCTTCCTGAACATCCCCGGAAAGGGCGCTGCACCGCCGCTAACGCGCACCTACGGCTGCGACTGACAGCCGCCCGGAGCTGGGCACCGGACGAGAACCAAGCATTGGAAGGCCGCTGCAAAATCCATTGTCGCCACCGCCGTGTCGCACGCTGGCCCCACTCCTTCCTCGCCGTCCATCCGCCTCTCGCGTGAAAGCCCGTTGAATGTCCAACTCCAGTCGTCATCCCTCCTTCTCCCTTCCGCTTCCAACATACGCATCCGCCCCGGCGGCGCCCCCAACGACCAAATGCACCGCTGGCCGTTCTCAACTGCCGCCTCCCTCCTCCGCCACCAGCGCGCCGATTCTCGAGCATAGTCCTCGTTTTGTTTTGTTGTTTCGTCGGAGCGCTTGTCCCGCCGGCGACTGGCGTCCCGTGAATCCTCAGCCGGTGCGACCTCAAGCGGTAATGATGGCGTCGCCTGCAGGCTCCCGCCCGACTCGATCTTCTGCACAACAACCTACCGACGCACAGCGAGTAGATGCGCCCGGAAACCCTTCGCAGCGAAGAAGTAGCTGGCGGTCTTTGGTCCCTCCCTTGCGCGAACAGAGGTCAACGGCATCCCGAAACATGTCTTCGGTTCACGGCGGTTCGGCCGCCACCGCCGCCGCGTCCTCGTCGTACTCTTCCCGCACGCAACGAAGCACAGGCACCACCGCTGTTGCACCCTCAGCCGCCTCGCGTTCGAACCAGAATCAGCGACAAAGGGCCCCGGAGCCACCTGTGAATCGGGACTTTTCCCACATATGGGGTAGTGATAGCCTCGACGACGTCTCCTTGACGATGCCGCCCATCTCCGGAGGCGACACCACCGAGGACGGCCAGTACCTCAGCGCCTTTGCCGACAGCGAGTTTTCCTCGCCCTCGAGCTATCCTTCCTTCGTAAACCCACCGATAGGGGAGGATCCGCACGCACGCCAGGCTCCCGGTCAGCCTCACCAGGCCGCCGCCGCCTCATACCCCGGCTCCGCTGCCCCTCCCCGCCGCGCTTCCGCCTGCGGCCGTGCCGTGCCCGCCCCTTCACGATCCACGACCCAACTCTCCGCGTCGAGCGTCGGCGAGTCCCAAAACACGCTCTTCACCAACGACTTTGGCGACGAGCCGCTCACCTCCCAGAGCACGCAGAGCTCTTTTGCCGACATGCCTGTGTCGGTCACCCGTCGCGGCACCCTGGCCGAGGACTCCGACCTCGCCCGTGCCGCTAAGCGCCGTCGAATGCCCGCTGCGGCTGCTGTAAACCCTGCCGAGACGACTCCTCTGGTTTTGCCACTTCCGTCGGACGACGACGACGAGGACGACGACCTTTTTGGGGAGAAGGAGAACCCGCCGCCGAACGACGATGACCTCGCGACAATCGATCTTACCGAAGCCAACGACGTGCCCGAGAACCTCAAGAAGCCAGAGGTGGACAACCGCGTCAAGCTGTCGGCGTTTCAGTGCGTCATCTGTATGGACGACGTCACGACGCTGACCGTCACGCATTGCGGTAAGCCTCCTCGTCCATTCAACCTTTTTCGGTGCCGACGAACGCCCGCTAACTATGCCGTCAACAGGACATTTATTCTGCCAGCAGTGCCTGCACTCGTCGCTCCACGTCGACTCCACGCGCGGCAAGTGTCCCATGTGCCGCGCGAAAATCGACATGAAGGCCCGGGCGTCGTATAACTCCAAGACCAAGGGCTTCTGGCCGCTCGAGCTGAAGCTCATGACGAAGACGAAGCAGGGCAAGCGCAAGGCCGGTGACATTAGTTGATTCACGAGGGCGCAAGACGACGCCAGAATGGGCGCTCGAGCGTGCGTTTGCTGCGCTGGGTGAACTGTAGAGAGGAGACTGGGTGCATCATAGCGCGGGGCGTTGATTTCCTGATTCACGCATGGCATGGCACGCATTTAGACGCGGCGTTTACAGACTCCATGGAGCGCTTGTAACAATTCAAGGTCTTATTCCAAAGCCAAAGAGTCTATCCCACGTGTGTCCCGTGGTTTGGCGAAATGCAGGTATATCCCATGTCCCCAACCGAGGCGGCTTTCATCCCCCAGTTCAAAGCGCAGCTCGGGCGCGCACGTACACGCACGAACGCATGCCATTTTTTTGCATTGTTGTTCTCCCAACGCCCCAGCCGAAACCCAAGCGTACAGTTAGATCCGAGTCTATGTACTTTCTGGCCCCCCCAAGTCAGGTAATCGTCTCAAGCCAATGCCTCTTTCCCACGGCATATCGCCAGGGCAAACGCCTCTCAGTGGAACAAGCTGAGATCCGGCTTGGTCGACCCCGTGGTTGCTTCGTTCTCAAACTACAGCATATGGTCAGTTCTGGCAGACACGAAGTTTGCCATCCGGAGAAAGGGACTCACCTCCAGGAATCCCGTCGCGGCAATGATGACCATCAAGGCATCTGCCAGGTCGCCAATCTTCTCGTCCAGCGCCTCGGCCACGCCGTCGCTGCCAATACCGGCGCTGCGCTTCAGCGTGTGCGTGACGAGCATCCGATGGTCTGTAAGGAATTTGCGACCCTGGACCGCATTGTGGCTTCCGCGGCTGAGCAGAGCGGCGCCTATTATCCGACTGACCTTGGCAAGCAGGTCGTAATGCTGCTCCAGGGCGCGCGAGTTCCTCGCGTCAGTTTGCAGCTCGGGGTCCGCGGCGAAGAGACCTGAACTCTCAATGGTCCGGAAAAAGTTGGCATAGAGTATGTACTTGGCGCCTGCTCGTGACTGCGCCATCTGCAGGAGAAGAGCCAGCCGGGCATTTTGGAAGTTTTGCTGGTCAGTATATCCTAGAGCGAGTCAGCAACGAAGGTTCGTGTCGCCCCGAAAAAGTCATGACATACCTGACGAAAAGGCGTCGTGCCATTCCTGCATGATGTTCCGCAACGAGTCGACTAGGATTCCGATGAAGTTGAGCCGGTTTAGGGTCTCGATAACATGGTTGTCACCCTCATGTCGGCCGACGTTGACCAAGGCATTCAGGAAGACAAACGCCGCTGCCTGACAGGTGGGCTCGCCGCAATACGCATCGTCGCAGATGACATTGATGAGCCTCTCGCCGTAGACCTGTATCGTCTTGGTAGTTTTGGGGCGGGTCGAGCTGAGCGGGCCCTGTTCTGAGACCCCCGTCAGGTAACGATAGCAGATCTCGTAGTACACGGACCTCAGCCCCGGGGACCCAGCCCATTTACCAATCGCCTGGAGACAGATCTGGAAGAGCTGGTAGAGCTTGTCGCTGACCAGGTTGCCAATTGCGGGGTTGTCTGAGTCGTCGCCGCTGGCCGCGTCCAATTTGAACAGAAGCACCCGTGCAAGCTTGGCCAGTTCGAGAGCTTCTTCAGGACGGTCGGACGCAAACGTTTCTAGGCTGGGGAGAATGGCCTGGAGAGCTTGAAGGAAGAAAGACGTCTGCGCGGTCCCTTTGAAGTCGTTGCACTCGACCATGATGAGCAACAGCTTGGTCCAAGACTTCAGCACCCGGAGGCACTGCGTGCCGACCTGCTTCTGCCTGTTGGACGAAAGGAGGTACTCCACGATCACAGTCTCCTCCCTCTCAATCAGGACTAGGTCCTGTGCAGCAACCAATGCACCTCGGCCCTGCTTTTCGCTGCGCTTCAGAAGAAGAATTTCCCTAACGCGGTCCACATTATACACTTCATTCAGATCAGTGTCTGTCTCTAAACAGGAAGACACGTCGAGATCCTTATAGAACGCGAGTTGCGGAGGCGGAACATCCCAGAGGCCTTCCGGAAGGAGAAAGTCGTAAAGGTCGAAGACAGTCGGAGTTTGAATGGGTTGGTTGCCCTCGCCGATGACTTGACCGTTCAAAGCGTCGTATATCCGCCTCTTGACACTAGGCATGCGTCCCTGGGAAATCATGCAAAGCTCCATGGCAATATACTCGAGGGTCAAGCTTCGGAGCGTCAAGAAGTCGATGAGGGTCGGGGCGCCTTCAGTCATGGGGAACTGGATCGTTGCAACGTTCTGGCCCTCCCAGGGCACGTCGGGCTGTATGACGGACTCTCGGATGAGCAAGTGGAAGAGGAATTCGTTGTCTCGAAGCTCGTTGATGACGAGCTGCGACGAGAGGGGCGATGTCCATAGAATGTGCAGAATCCGCATCACCCTCGACTTGAGGGCGATGAGCCAGTGCCTCATGCCCTGGTCGTCGGCAGATGGGACTTCAAATAGAAGTCTCACCAAAGAGTGGAATAGCGAAGTGCGAGTAACGAATGAACCTGTGTTGTCGACTGACAAAGAGTCCACGCCACACGTAAAGCCAAGCAAGAGGTGAGCAATGGTTGGCTCCTTGGGTGTCGTCTGAAGGCATTGCAGCAAGAAGTCGAGAATATAGATTTTGATGATGTAATTCGGCGATTCGGCCTCGCGTTGTGCCTCCAACGGTGCCATGAGCTCCGAGCCGAACGAGCGTGAGATGGCCTCATGCTCTCCGTTGGCCTCCAGAGCAACGATGGCTTTGTTTCGGTGCGCTCCCCGGCTCGACCCGGACCAGGTCGCGGTGATCTTTGATGATGAAGCCATCTTCTCCAGAAGCTTCAAGCAAGCCAAGGTGAGGTCGGGGTGACCAATGCCGCAATAATTGCCAAGGTCAACTACAAGGTTCAACCTCGTGACGAGACCATCTTGGAAGGAGGCATAGGCAGCATTGGCAACAGGCTGGCGTCGCTGGCCAGACTGCAGCTTGATGAGCGGCCTTACTAGGTCGAGATAGGTCGCTTCAAGCTCCAACACCTTGGTGATGACCTCGACAGCGCGCAGAATGCCCAAGATGAGGGGCGAGTCGGGCGCTGCGTTGCCGACATCGGCTGGTTCTTGGTGAATAGTATTGAACAAGGAGGTCATGACCTTGTCGTTGAACATCCATTCCATGACCCTAGCGAACGGATGTTTGCACACGTAGGTGGCGAGATCGGTGGTCGCGATGACGGAGTCGATCTGGATGTTGGTCTCGTTCGCCATCACGATGAGGTCTTCGTTGAAAGTTGACAAGCAGGTGAGCATAAACTCAAGGCAGCCCAACCTCAGGACCCGAATCTGGTGCTTGTCCTGAAGGTCCTGAGACTTGTTCGCAAAGACAAGACCCATGACGAAGTCAACGTAAACTTCAATGCCTGGATAACGCGAGCTGGACCCGAGGCTCTCAGGGAAGGGTAGCGAGTCGTTTAGGGGGCTGCTGTCCCGTGCTGGTGACACCAGCGCAAGCAACAGGTGGATGAAGGACACGGGGTCTTCGAAACCGCTGCTCATCTCATCAAGGATCCTTTCTGTTGATACGAGAGGCGTCGGTTGCGCTTGCCGAATAGGGCCCGCCGTGGGATTGGCGTAGCCGCCAGTGATCCACGTCTCCAGGCAGTTCCACATTGTTTGGCTCTCCTGGGTCGACTTACGGCTCACCAGGGCCCTGAGTGCCATGAACACGCAGCCTCGGAGTCGGGACGGTATCGGGCTGCTGGCTAGCTCATAGAGCATGTCGACAAGATTGTACCCGGGATTCAGCAGGAGGAAGGCCCTTGCCGTCTCACTTTCCGTTGCCAGCTTGGTGATGAGACGCATATAACATTCCAGCATCATGGCAGACTCGGGCTCGGTTTCCATCAGGTCGCTTGGGATCTTTGTGCCGCGATACTTGGCGGTTTGCGCCGGGGCGGGCTTCTGCCGGATTCTATCCGAGTAGAAGTCGAGTTCTTTGAAGATCTGAGCCCAGGTCAAAGACTGAGTCCGTCGTATCTTCCCTGATGAGTGAGAGCTCTCGTCGAGGAGGAACTCGTGGGCAGCCGTGGCACTTTCCTCATTTTCTGAGATGGCTTGCAACATCTCGCAAAAGGCCGTAACCAGTGGTGTCGAGGCTCGTCGAGACGCCCAGTGCATAAAGCCAGCAAGGTTGCTGTCGGGATCAGACCAGAACGTTGTTGCGGCATCTGGGCGCCCTTCATAAGAGTAAGCGATGATGAGCAAGAATCTTTCCAAGTCGAGATCCTGCTCGTGGGTTTGGCTCAACGATCGTTGCTCGTCTTCTTCCACGCGCAGCTTCCGTAGGACATCTGGGAGGTTGGAGATGAATGCGTCCACTAGAACCTCGAGGTGTCCCATGAGGCAGTTCTGGAAGAAGGTGGAGAATTGGATTGCCTCGGGAGGCAGGGCAGTCGACTTCCTCTGCAGCCAGTTTCGCATACCCATGCGAACAGGGTCGTGCCAGTCAGGGGACCTCACATCGCCGGCGACAGACAAGATCCATTCGAAGGCGCCATCCTTTAATGCCTCCAGGAACTGCTTGGATCTTTGACGGTCCTCTTTCCGTGTGGTCAGCAGCGTTCTGCCCAGTTGAGACATGTGTTTACTCACCCTCGTCAAGGTCGGTGTTGGGAGGTATCGCAGCCTCGGGCGGATCATCGACGTAGAATCCACTGTACTCGGCTAGCCACCAGGCCCGAAATGCCGCCTGTAGCTGCGGTAGACGCCAGCCAGAGTTACCCGAAGGCGGGAAGAGCTTATTGTTTAGCTCCCGCACGCTAATGAGATCGTGGCCGCCTTCTGTCGAACCGAAAAGCGAGATATAAGCACCAACGGCCGGCATGAGGTGCACGAGCAGCGTCTCGTACTTTTCCGCCTTTTTCAAAACCGAGATGAAATCGAAGAAGTCGGAGGTAGCTGCCTGTCGCTTTTCGACGCAACGGCAGAGGATGACGCCGAGAAGCTCGTGCTGTTGAATCAGACTCAGGCGCGAAAACTCGACGGTCTCCATCTCTTCGGACATCTGGCCGCCATTTCCTTGGCTCAAGGTTTGGGCCGCTGCGATTTTGTCACCTATCCGTTGCAGCCATGTTCGGATCTTGGCCATAGCAGCCATGCATCTCGGGACGTAGCGTTTTGACGCGCCGCCGCCACCAGACTGGAACAGACGCGCAGCGACAAACATCCTGATGGTGTCGAGTGCGGCCGAGTCTTGAGCATCGTCGTCGGCGTCCTCCAGTTCGAGGAGCAGTCGTAGCGAGTCAAGGACGTATTTCCGCTGCTGGTGAAAACGAATAATGCCGCACTCTAGCAGCGGCCTTCCTAGCACCGGAGGGTCTTCTTGGGAGTCGAGAAGGCATCGTACCGCGTCCAGCTCGTCAACGTCGATTTCGTCGGAGAGGAGCAGTGCATCTTGCTGGAACTTGTCGTTCACCGTGTAGTCGCTACCGTCAAGGGAAATCTGGCCTATAACCCATCAGCAATTGCAGATTGAGGATTCTCGGCGCACGCCCTACCTGACTTGACCTTGTTGCGGCTCTGATCGTTCTTTGGCGGGCTGTCCCAGAGTCTCTCCAGCTCCTTGGTGAACGTCTGGACTAGAGGCTCGTTGTTCAGGCACTCGACGCCGTCGCCATAGCCACCGCTGAGAGCAATGAGCTCCCGGTGGAAAGCCTGCAAGGCGTCCAGTATTGTTACCTCGGCCATTTTCGATGTCGAGGCTGCTATTGCATCGTGGTGGAGCTGCGACGGGCGTGGAGCAGGATGCCGCTGGTTTGTCGACAAACGCGTGCAATGCACACTGGATCGGGTCGCTTGGGCGTCAATGGTTCGGTGCCGAGATGCGCGACGACAGTGCCGCTCAAGGATCGTCAAGGACTGGCCCTATCGTCTATGCAAGCACCTGCGCTTCGAAAGGAAACCAGAGCAATCTGCCCGGACAGTCGCGGTGGCATGGGCGTGCGAAGAAGGTGCAGCGGGTCGCAGGTAAACATCCTTGCGGGCGGTGAGGGATTCTGCCGGATTTATTGTTGGAGGAGCTCCAGAAGCTCCACGAGCTGCGCCGCACTTTCAGCTAAGACTACAGCGCCTTCCCCGTCGTCCCATCACTTGAGCTTCCCGGCCAGCGTAGGCACCAGCAGTCACGAGCCTTGGTTTGTCATTTTGTGGTTTCGTCGCGCTGCACCTGGCTGAAGCTCCCGGCTCTCGATTCATTGGCATCAGCGTCATGGCAATTGGACTTTTCTCCTCTTTTCAAGCATCCTCGCAGCCGTCTGTCTTATTGCACTTGTACAACTCAGAGACGCGCTTCAGCATCTCGCGACACACGGTGGTGTAGCCGACGGGAGCTTAATGAGCAGGCGGCCAACCACCCATCGCCATAACCGTCGGTCGTGAGACAACGGTCCCGCCCGGCCAAAGCACCTTGTTCAAGATGGCCTCGGCTCAGAAAGCGACCGTCAGGAACCTCGCTAGTACGTTTTGTTGCCGCGGTACAGCGCTTGTGACAAATGCTGACCAGGCGTCTCAGGAGACATCAAATCAGGCGCGCCCAGAGACCGTGAGAAGGCAGTGGATGGTAAGTCTTGTAACATGTGACTTCCATCTGGTTCAATCGCTAATGGCTGTAATCAGATCTGTACCATCTGCTGAAGAACAAGACTGCAAATCTGTGTGTGCTTAGTGACGACTCTGCCTTCCAGATCTTGCCTGCTAATACGAGCACAGCACAGCTCTCGAGGACAAAGGATATCATGAAATTTTTGAGGCTCTTTTCAGCCTGGTCCTCGTCGAAAAGCCGGTCTATTATGACAACAGAAAAACGCAGGCGAAAAGAAACACCGCCGCGTCGCGCCTCTCCAAGTGTGCCTCCGCCGTAAGAGTGGCTGCATCGCGCGGCGTCGCCAGATTAGGCCGAAAGACGTTGCTCGCCTTCATAGATCATATCACGCAGGTGCTGCCGGGGCCGAATGATGACTTCGTGGCGCCTCTGCTCCAGGACTACGTCAAGGCTCTCGTCGACGTGCTTCGGCACTCGGCTCATGTTGAGTTGCTGGCGAGAAAGGATGGGGCCCCGTGGATAAGCTGTGTCGACTTCCTCCTCGATGTTTGCGTCTACATTTTACCCAGTGAATCTCGTTCCAGCGTCGTCGCCCTGAGCCGAGATTCCCCTGCACCTGGCACGCCGACTCTTTGGTCCACCGGAAGATCCAGCGGTTCCAATCAGAGCCAGAAACGGGTGAACAAACCCGAGGGTAGGCCCATTCTCGATGCTCTCGAAGGACTGGATTGCCTGGTTCAGGCAGCCAACGCCCCTGTTCTGCAGCGGGCAAAAGACGTCACGGACCTTGTCTTGAGAGTCCTGGCACTGAAGAACCTCAGTTTGGACCCCACGCAGAGCGCATGCTTCGCCATAGCAAACAACATCTTTGCCGTGACGCAGGCAGATGACTTTCAACTCGCAAACTCGCTCGTCAGAAACCTTCTTCCTCTGATGAGCTACTGGTGGAGAGCCGACAAGGTCTCTCAGGATGAAGCCATCAAAACCTTGCGGAACGAGATATCCAAAACAATCTTCTTGACCCATCTCCACATTGAGTATCTTGCGACTAAAGCTCTTGATGCGACGGTTCGGAATGACGTGGAGAATCTGGTCGAACCTCTCTGGCTGGAGTATGCAAAGCGAGGGGATCCATTTCGGTTACAGCTTCACGATCTGACATTCGCTACCTCATCACTGCCAGACGACTCCTTGAGGCTGCAGTCCTTTGGTTTGAGACATCATAACACTGAAGGAGAGAGCCACTGGGCGCTGGTCCAGAACATTGCCCTCCTGGAGGCAATACTTTTACGGATCAGGCGAAACCCGGGCGTTGCAGAGACGGACAGACAAGAGCAACCTCACAAGCGGCGCAGAACTCAGGAGAGCGCCAGCCGCATTCGGCTGAAGCTCAAGTCTCGGGACATCAACGAACAGAGGACAGCTCTGCAGCTGGTGCCATTTCTAATCGCGATCAACGTTCTGGAGACTGAGGAAATCAGAGACTTGCTGGCAGACCTGGCCGTGTGCGCGTCAAACAAGCACGCTACCACTGCATCATGGGCTTTGATTGCTTGCGCAAGGTACGCATCCCGCCAACCCTACTAATCAATTGCTACTGACCGGCTAAGCTGTGCCATGGTCCCCGAGATACGAGAAGACCTGATAGACACCTGGAGGCAAGTTTGGTCTATCGCAGCGAGGTCTGTGAGCCAGCCCGCCATCAGCCGTGCTTCCTGCTTTGCCCTGAAAACGATCCTGGAAGCGGACATACTCCCAAGGCACGCACTTACAGATGACCTCAACGGTTTCGTCGTCACAGCTGACATCAACGGACCGGCAATATTATGTGACACCTCGCTTTCCTTCATGTCATACTTACTCCAGGAACGAAACGTGCGGCTGCCGAATGCTAGTCAGGTCACTAGCAGTCACATCATCAGATGGGCATTTCTGAAATGGAATCCTAGTGAGTTGCATTTCCTATACAGTGACGTGTGGCACACAGTAACATGAGCGGCATGTAGGCGAGCCCGGTTATGCCTCCTTCCAATCCATCCACGTGCAGCCACTGGATATGGTGAATTTACTGCGCCTTTGCTGCGGAATGTCGGCCTTGGTGTCCAATGACCGACCTGCGCTTTCAGGCGCAGCTCTCAGCGGGGCCTGGAAAGTCCAGAAAGAGATTTCGCCATTCAACCGGTATCTCCTCCTTCTCGACCACAAGCTTGACGATCGGCAGAAGGGAGCCGGCGCCGATGCACCGTCAGAACCGAATATTCCACATGCCGATTCGAGCAACGTATACACGTCCCGAAAGCTTATCTTGGAGCTATTCTATCCCAAGATTGAGGAGTTGGTGTCCTTGAACCAGTCATGGACCAAGAAGGTCGGCGAAGGTGGTACCCAGATATCCCTTGAGCGATTCCAGAGCCTTCTGTCCGCCTGCATCATTGGAGCCATGCTGCTGCCGCAAGTCAATGACCTGAACTCCATGCAGTCAACAGCTGTTGAGCCGGCGTTGCTTGAGTTGGCCGAAAAAAGCCTGGCCATTGCTCTAGACTCGGTTGAGCCGCTTTCGTTTACTGATCTTGTATTGCGACTTCTCCGTCCATGCATCCCCGATCTCACAACGACTAGCCTTGGGCGCCTTCACAGCGAAAATGTCGGGCTCTTGCGCTTGATTGCCAAGGTTGCAACTGCTCTCGAGCGACAGCAACTCGTGCCTGACTTGGACAACCTGGATTCCATGGAGTTGGACGATGAGTTCGATTCTCAAAGCAGCAGGGCGACGACAGCATCTCAACCAAGGCCAATGCCGAGGCATAATACGCAGATGTCCACGAGCCTGAGAGCCTTCTACGCGGATACCAGGAGTCGTCTTGCTCTCTTGCGGGTTCTTGCTGTTGACACCAGCCAGGTAGGAATCGTACCCAACGCATGGCTGGACCAGCTTTTATCAATGCCCGACGACGACCTTCTCATGTGTCAGCGACTGCTGATAGAGGTCTGCGATTCGGACATGGTCATCGACCTTGAGAATGCCCTGAGACTTGTCCAGAGACTTGGTGCCATAATCGGCGCCTACGAATACCAATGTTGCGAAGTGGCTCTTACAACGTGCATCGAGGTCATCAACGGCCTGCATGGCGTCTGGCTGAATGACAAGGGAGACCTTTCCGATGGCGTGGGTGATCTATACAACTACTTCGTCAAGGTCTGCCTTCCGTCGAACTTTTTCTCACCGAGAGCGCAAATGTCAATGGCCCATCTTCTGTTTACACTTCTTCGCGTCGACCCATCATACGGGACAGATCTCGGCCTCGATTCATGCCGGACGTCTCTGTTGTATATCCTCGGCAGCGGAACGACGAAAGCAAAATGCTACATCGCGGACAGGATTGCCAATATATTCGAGCTATACATCCTGATGTTGCATGACGAGGTCTTTGTGGATGTACTGGACAGTCTACCAGCCAACTCCGAAGACAGCGCCGGCATTGCGTTCAGACTGCTAGTGCTTTCGCGCCTGGCTTGTCGATGGCCGACTCTGTTGAGGAGGTGCATCTACCATATTTTTGAGACTCCGGGGAAGATAGCGCAGGCTACGGAATACGCGAGATGGTGCCTAGCGGACATTGCTGCAGAACTGAATCTTGAGTCACCCAAGACTCTGTTCATGCTCTTTTCACGCCAGCTTCTCTATACTTGGATGGAAGGAGACTCCCTGCAGGATATCCCGTACTCGATATTTGGATTCCAGGAGCTTGCCGAATTGCTGCGATCCGCCCAGGCTGAGACCATGGCTCTAGGCCTCATGCGAGGACAGGACGCGACCTGTGCAGATCTCTCGCGTCTCATCGGGTCGAGCGAAGAAGAGGTCATTCAGCGAACCTTTGCAACCACACTCTCGTATGCCATGATTTACGGCGACGCATTTGCCGAACCAGGCAAACCCAAGGGAGAGGACCGCATCCGGAAAAAGCTTGGGGCGAAGTTATACGCTGAAGCAATCTACATCAATTTTGCGGACATTGTCGCACAATTCTTCGACCTCATCGATCAAGAAGACTCGCCTGAGCGAGTGTTCCGCCGACATCCAGACCTTGCGTACGCAGCTGACAACCTGGAGGCTATGAAAAAGATGTCACATTCTCCAGCAAATCTGCCACCAAACCAACAACCAATGTTCCGAGCGAAATATGTCATCCACGATCTTTTCAGACTTTGCCAGAGCACGGAGTTCCAGTTTCACGATCTGTGGACCCCCGCTTTGGTACTCTCAATCGCCAGGAAGCTGTTCAGCACTATTCACCCGGCGCTTGGATCCCTTCATGCCTGCTCAGTGCTGCGGAAAGTACGCTTGGTGATGTGCTTGGCCGGGCCGGTGGCTTTGGACTCTTACTGCCTGGAGATGCTGCTGAATTCGATCCGCGCCTTTGTCGTTGACTCTGAGTGCGCTGACGATGCATTGGGAATGACCAAGTATCTCCTCGAGGGCGGCGCCCAATACCTGAAGCAATCGCCGTCTTTCCTGGCTGGCTATGCCCTGTCTACATTGGCATCTCTCAGGGTGTTTCTCGAGTCGAGTCAGTCTAGCACAACTCAGGAAAGCCAGTTCAAAGCAACCATGAACAAGGCGCAGAGCTTTCACGAGTGGTTCGGCAGCTACCTGTCACGTTATGAGTCCCCTGCGTTTAAGAGCGACGCGCAAGCGACGTCATTCAAATCCATCACTCAGTCAGCGGCGCGAATAAGGTCCTCCGGGAATGCAGAGAAGGACACGTTTGAGAGCAGTCTACTTCTCGACATCTTAAGAGATAGCACCTCTGATGATGGGCTTCTCAACGAGCCATCTCGACGCTTGGCTTTGGGCCTTCTCTGCAGTGACTTCACTATTCCCCAGTCAGTCTCAAACGATGTGGTGGAAAGCGACGAGGACGCAATTGCTCATGCTGAGGGTGTCTGGAAGAGCTGCGAGGCGCAAGATCTGAGCCAAGACTATCTGGCCTGGGCTGGACGCGTTGTTGGGAGGTCCTTTGCTGCATCTGGTGCGATTCCCGACGACACTCTTCGCGAGTCACGCCTCCGTCAGTATTCCAGCATGACTCACGGATCTAATGGATCCGAAGAAGCCCTGCTGCGCCTTTTACAGGACCTCGCATCAAGTCAAGACTCTGTCGTTGCCGGTATGGCAGAAGCTGCTCTGAGAGGCACCGTTTCTCAAGCGGTGTTGCAAGATGACGAGCCCCTCGTTGTGGCATGCCAACGGAGCTTGAACGAGCCTCTGTTTGTTGCATCTCAGTGGGGGGGGTATCGCATACCGCCTTCCGAGACGCCAGCTGCATCGAGTATCGAGGCCCACAGCGTGTGGAAGGAGGAGGTGGCATCTCCGTGCTGGCTCACGCGGCTGAGCGTTCATCTCGCCGAGTCCGTTCCAGACTCGATCCTTTTGTCTGTGTTGCCCCCAATCTTGGCTAAAGTCGAGGGCTTCGCCGAAAGGGCATTCCCGTTTGTGGTTCACCTCGTTCTCTACTTTCTGTTGGAGCAGCAGCAAACCATGAAGCGGCAGCTGTCCACAGCGGTGAAGGGGTGGTTGATGTCCACAGCCCCCGCATCCAGGGACAACGTGAAGCTCTTGATCAATGCAATACTCTATCTGAGGACTCAGGAATACCCAAAAGAATCATCGATCGAGGATCGGCTGCATTGGCTGGAGGTCGACTACAGCGCAGCGGCTTCGGTAGCCTCTCGATGCGGCATGTACAAGACGTCTCTACTGTTTGCAGAGCTGATTTCCTCCGACAACACACGCGCATCGCGCAGGTCTTCGGCTGCCAGGGAAGCAGACATTAGCGACACGCTGCTGTCCATCTTCGAGAATATTGATGATCCGGACACGTACTACGGTCTGCCAGAAGAGGCGAGTTTAGCAAAGGTCCTAGCTCGCGTAGAGTACGAGAAAGAAGGCGCCAAAAGCCTGGCGTTCCGAGGCGCTCTCTACGACAGCAACATTAGACTTCGACGCCCTGAAGCTGAGACGGATGCTCAAGCGCTAGTCGGAGCACTGGGCACTCTGGGCCTTGCTGGCCTTTCGCACTCAGTACTGCAGACTCAACAGAACAACGGCGCCTCTAACGGATCTGTCGAGAGCACGTTTGGCACAGCTCGGCAGCTTGAACTGTGGAACCTTCCTGCGCCTCTTACATCAGAACACCACACCGTCGCTGTCTACAAGGCCTATCAAAGCATGCATCAGGCAACTGCCATGTCTGCGGTTCGGTCTGCAGTGTATGACGGCTTCAGCAAGATCATGCAAAAGACCACAGAAGCCACCGTCAACGCCACGACCGTCAGGAGCCGTCTTACAGCCCTTGCTGCCCTGGTGGAGCTGGATGATCTACTGAACGCAGCCGACGAAAATGACATGGATAAGAACCTGATTAAGTTTCGTGACCGTGATCGGTGGATGCGGAGTGGACGGTGAGTCTAGATCCTCGTTTCACGCGACTCCAGTGCTGACTTTATCAGGTATGACGATGTCAGTCAGATACTGTCATGCAGAGGGACGACAACGAGCATGTTGAGTCAGCATGCCCCGTTATTGAACAACACCAGGCTCACCACATCAGCCTTGAGGCGCTTTCAAGTCGAGTCGATGCTATTGGCGTCAGGGGTATACCGATACCATCAAGCAACGCAGGAGTCACTCAATGTCTCGACGGCATTGAACAAACTGATACCACTTTGCGAGGACTTGGGCCTGCATGTTGATGCTGCCATTAAGATCGAAGTGGCAAACGCACTATGGGACCACAGGGAAATGAGCACGTCGATTCGCATGCTCCAAGGCATCGACACAGACTCGTCTCTCAGCAAGCAAAGTATCCCGGTCAGCAGATCTGATCTTCTATCCAAGATAGGGCACAAGGTTTCGATCGCTCGCCTCGAAAAGCCACGAGACATTCAGAAGACATACCTAGAACCCGCACTCAAGGAGCTCAAGCGCGATGCCACCTCGGACAAGGAAGCAGGCGCGGTCTACCACCAGTTCGCCACTTTCTGCGACGAACAGCTACAGGATGTGGACGGGCTGGAAGATCTCGCAAGGCTACAGAACCTCAAAAAGGGCAAGAGCGAAGAGGTTGCTGAGCTCAAGGCACTCATCTCGTCAACCAAGGACACGCAACTCAGGACAAGATACTCGCACGTTCTCAACAAGGAGAAACAGTGGCTGGATCTAGACGAGCAGGAGCTCCGCCGCGTCGAACAGACTCGTACTGAGTTTGTGCGACTGAGCTTGGAAAATTACTTGTTGTCGTTGGCGACGTCGGACGAGTACAATAACGACGCGCTGCGATTTACTGCCCTCTGGCTCGAGCGGTCCACGGAAGACGTGACCAACAAGGCCGTGCAGCGCCATCTCTCATCCGTTCCGACGAGGAAATTTGCCGGCTTGATGAATCAGTTGACTTCGAGGCTGCAGAACCAGGACACCGCTTTCCAAAGGCTCTTGCTAGAATTGGTGTACAGCATCTGCGTCGACCACCCCTATCACGGCATGTACCAAATCTGGTCGGGCACCAAGGCGCGGGCCCAGCAAAAAGACGAAGTGGCAGTCCTTCGCGTCAAGGCAACTGAGAAGGTTGCCCAGCGATTGGCCGCAACGAAGTCTGTGGCTGACATATGGCTGGCCATCGAAAAGACCAGCAAATACTACCACATGCTTGCCATGGATAGGAACACGAGCAAGTATAAGTCGGGGTCCAAGATTGCGCTCAAAGACGCGAATGCGGCGCTAAACTTGGTTAACTGCCTCGCCAAATACCGGATCCCGCCACCGACAATGGACCTTGAAGTCTCGGCCAACAAGGATTACTCGCGCGTGCCGTATATATCCAAGCTGGAGCCGACCATGACGATTGCCTCAGGTGTGTCGGCGCCCAAAATCATCACCGCAGTGGGCAGTGACGGCAAGAAGTACAAACAGCTGGTCAAGGGCGGCCACGACGACCTCCGCCAGGACGCCATCATGGAGCAAGTTTTCGCCGCCGTATCGTCGCTGCTGAAGCTGCATAGGAGCACCCAACAGAGAAACTTGGGTATCAGGACGTACAAAGTGTTGCCCCTGACGGCCACGTCGGGGCTGATTGAGTTTGTGCCGAACACGATTCCGCTTCATGAGTTCCTCATGCCCGCACACGAAAGATACTACCCGAGGGATCTCAAGGGTTCGCAATGCAGAAAAGAGATCTTCAACGTGCAGAGCCGGACGGTGGAGACGCGGATCAGCACGTATCGCAAGGTGACCGACAAGTTCCATCCCGTGATGCGGTACTTTTTCATGGAGAACTTTACGGACCCGGATGACTGGTTCACGAGACGTTTGGCGTACACGAGGAGTACGGCTGCCATTTCTATGCTTGGACACGTGCTCGGGCTGGGCGATCGGCACGGCCATAACATCCTGCTAGACACGAAGACGGGAGAGGCCGTGCACATTGATCTGGGAGTGGCGTTTGAGGCTGGCAGGATCCTCCCCGTGCCCGAGCTCGTGCCATTTCGACTGACGCGAGACATTGTTGACGGGATGGGCATCACCAAGACTGAGGGCGTGTTCCGCCGGTGCTGCGAGTTCACGCTGGATGCGCTCCGCGAGGAGCAGTACTCCATCATGACCATCCTCGACGTGTTGCGGTACGATCCACTGTACACCTGGACCGTCTCACCGCTCAGGTTGGCCAAGCTGCAAAAAGCCAGGCAGGACGACGACACGGGGGCCGAAGAACCGGACCACAGTGAGGCCGACGCCAAGAGAGGGAAGAAGGCGGCGCACTTCAACGAGCCGTCCGAGGCAGACCGGGCGCTCGAGGTGGTGAGGAAGAAGCTGTCCAAGACGCTGAGCGTGACGGCGACGGTGAACGATCTGATCAACCAGGCGACGGACGAGCGAAACCTGGCGGTGTTGTATTCTGGTGAGTACGCCAGAGTTCTTGAGAGACTAAACATGGAGCATGCTAACAGAGTTTTGTTTAGGATGGGCCGCGTATGCTTGATGCGCGCACGAATATATGGCGAAGTCGGGGTTGCGTGGTTAGGCAATGTCGATCTGGTGCGAATGAACAGCTGGGTTGGGGTTGGCGATGGGATCACTTGGCAGGTACGAGGCATAGAAAGTGTCGCGTATGCTGCATGTACACAAAGCATTAAACTGTATCTACCATGTATATGGGCTAAGAAGAAACGCCATGCTCTACGTTCTCGAAATGGCGATGAGCCTTGAATTTCCAGTCGCTGGTGCAGGTTAGGCCAACTTGGAATGGCCCGCTGCCGCGGCGTCGGGTCGCTTGACGAGACGGTCGTTTGCGCGTCCAACGGGAACCAAGCCGGAGCTACTGCGCTCCCGAACCCACTAACTCCGTCGTCTAATGGCGGGGTCGGTCCCGCCCCGGCATTCGAGGTGCTGCTGCTGGCGCTGTAGCGCCACTACAGTTCCACCTACCTTGGCTGAAGAATGCAAGCAGAGGAACTGGAAGCTCCCACCTCTCCCAGCATCATCATCCACATCGAGTGACGCGACGACTCCCGGTGCAACCGACCGACTCCTCCGGCATTGCCAGCGCGACAGCACTCGCATCCGCCATCTCGGTTCCGCTGCTGTCCTTCGCAGTCGGGTAGTTTCTCGAACCCCAAAGCTCGACTTCTTCTAGCTCCTCCTCGCTCCGCCGTCGCCGAGAGCATCCGCGGACCGCACGCAGCCCCGACCTGGGGGGAGGAGCGCGCGAGAAGAGGCACAGAAAGTCCACCGTCGCGGGGCCTCCCGTCGACAGCGCGCGCGCCCCATGCAGGCCGAACCCGACACTCCTTCTCGCCGCCGGCCTCGCCTCTCCTCGTCGTCGTCCGCCGCCACAGCGGCTAAACGTCCCAAGTTCGCTGCAGATACGCCGCCCAGCATGGCCAGCGCGCGGGCGAGGGGCAAGATGCCCGAGACGGCCATCGATCTCACCAGTTCCGGCCCCGGCTCTCCCGTCGCTGCCGCGCCGGCGCAGGCCAGGCCCGCGGGCTCGGCCTTCCAGCCCTACAGCGGCGCCAAGAAGCTTGTCATCAAGAACCTCCGCGCCTCGACCAAGAGCGACGCCGCCCATGTCGACGAGTACTATGCGCGGACCGAGAGGGAGCTGCAGGCGGCCATCGATGCCATCCTGGCGGGCGAGCGTCCCGCGGTTCCGCTCGAGCGGTTATATCGCGGCGTCGAGGACATGTGCCGAAGGGGGCATGCGGCCAAGATTTGCGGCATGCTCACGAACCGTGTGGACCATCACCTTCAGGACGTGGTGTTGTTTAGGATAAAGCGAGCGGGAGCCGGCTCGGATCTGGACACGCTGAGGAGCGTGCTGGCCGAGTGGAAGACGTGGAATTCTCAGGCGGTAAGCGCTGTCCGTCGTCCCGGCTGATGCGGCGTTGACTGACTGATGGCGGCAGATTACACTGCGGTCGACGTTTAGCTACCTCGACAGAACATACCTACTTCGAGAATCACTACCGTCTATTAACGACATGACCATTGCCTACTTTCGGCGAATGGCGTTTGCACAGCCGGCGGTTCCTGCAGACCGCCTGACGGGCAAGCGAGCAGTGGCAGGTATCTGCGAGATGGTAGAGTACGACCGTCGGGGTGACGGGCGCATGGACGGCAGCCTTCTCAAGGACGCCATAAGAATGCTTTACGTGCTCGGCGTCTATGTTAAACACTTTGAGCCGCTGTTCCTGAAGCAGTCAGATGCCTACTTCAAGGAGTTTGGCGAGTCCTGGAGCGGTGCCAGCCTCAAAGAGTACATTGCGGCATGCGAGACGCTGCTGCAGAAGGAAGACTACCGATGCATCGCCTACAACCTGGAGAGTACCACCGAGAAGCAGCTCATGGACTCGGCCTACAAGATCCTCATCGATCAGTACTCGGACAAGCTGTTGAACGGTGGCAGCCTGGCACACCTATTGTCCGAGAAGGACTTTAAGTCGATGAAGGGGCTGTACGAGCTGCTGAGGCTGTCCGGAATACAAAAGAAGCTGAAGGCACCGTGGGCCGACTACATCCGATCAACAGGGGCGTCCATCGTCTCAGACAAGGAGCGCGGCGACGAGATGGTGCTGCGGCTGCTGGAGCTCCGACGTTCACTAGACCTGATGATTCGCGACGCCTTCGACAAGGATGAGGTATTCTTGTGGGGAATGCGCGAAGCATTTGGCAAGTTCATGAACGACCGGGCAACAGCTGCCTGCTGGGACTCGGGGACGTCCAAGATTGGCGAGATGACAGCCAAGTACATTGACATGCTGTTGCGAGGCGGCCTCAAGGCGCTGCCTAAAGATCTCCTGTCGGACGTCAAGGACCGGGCCGCGGCCGAGAAACTGGGCCACGCAAGCAGCGCCGACGAAGACGCAGAGCTCGACCGACAGCTGGACCAGGCGCTCGAGCTGTTCAGGTTCATCGAGGGCAAAGACGCGTTCGAAGCGTTCTACAAGAAGGACCTCGCCAGGCGGCTGCTCATGGGCCGCAGCGCGAGCCAGGACGCGGAGCGCAACATGCTCACGAAGCTGCGCAGCGAGTGTGGCTCCAACTTCACGCACAACCTGGAGCAAATGTTTAAAGACCAGGAGCTGGCCAAGGATGAGATGGAGGGGTACAAGCAATGGAGAGACGCCGAGCCGGAGCGAAAGGCCCGCGTGGATCTCTCCGTCATGATCCTCTCGGCCTCGGCATGGCCGACATACCCAGACGTCCGGCTGAACCTGCCCGATGCAGTCGCCACGGAGATTGAGCGCTTCGATGGACACTACAAAAATAAGCATACGGGCCGCATTTTGACGTGGAAGCATTCTCTGGCACACTGCGCGATCAAGGCGTCGTTTCCCAAGGGACCCAAGGAGCTTCTCGTGTCGGCGTACCAGGCCGTCGTATTGATGCTGTTCAACGACGTGTCCGGTGAGACCGGGTTCCTGACGTACGATCAGATATCGGCGGCGACGGGCTTGCAGGGCGGAGACCTGGAGCGCACGCTGCAGTCGCTGGCGTGCGGCAAGGCCCGCGTGCTGTTGAAGCACCCCAAGGGCCGGGATGTCAAGCCGACCGACACTTTCTCCTTCAATACGGCGTTCTCGGACCCCAAGTACCGCGTCAAAATCAACCAGATCCAGCTCAAGGAGACCAAGGAGGAGAACAAGGCGACGCACGAAAGGATCGCGCAGGATCGTCGGTTCGAGACGCAGGCGGCTATTGTGCGCATTATGAAGAGCCGCAAGAGCATGGGGCACGCAGAGCTCGTGGCGGAGGTCATCAACTTGACAAAGAAGCGCGGCAGCGTCGAGCCTGCAGCGATCAAGAAGGAGATTGAAAGGTATGTCGATCTATATCGCAATGACGCCCCCTCTGGCAACGGTTGGAACTGACAGTGCAACGCAGCCTTATTGAGAAGGACTACATTGAGCGAGAGGACAATGCCTACACGTACCTGGCGTGAGGCGCCATGAACGGGACACGGTGTTTTCGGCGCATGTCATGGGCTTGTCTGGTTACATTTGGCCGTGGTGTTTACATGGGCATTGTCGGGCGGCGGGAGGCAGCACAGGCCCTTTACGACATCATCTTCTCTCAGACAGGATTACAGGGTAGACAAAGAAGAAGACTTTGCAGCGTAGTTGCAGCGCAGCGTGTGATGCCACGACGTCGTCGTCGTTCACGGGGTGGCGAGGACACCGAAGTGCGCCTGAGGCCTGCCTGCAGGGGTTCTTCGGTATGGAGGCTCCGCGAGGGTGGGTGCATGCTCCGCCACCCACCCCGGAGTCGGGAACCAGGATCGAAGAGGAATGACGTGTTTTTATTTTCGGTAACTATCCTCGTTCACTCCTCCACAACACTACTACGTGTGTAGTTTGTACACGGGGACTTACACGCCTGTTGGGGGCCGGCTCAGGTCCTTGTAAAAGTACACCCCGTCCACGAGCTGTCCGTCCACGGGCGAGATGCCGTAGTTGGGCACGGTGCCGAGCTGGTTTTTGAAGTCAGCAGCAAACATCAACCTGTACTTCTTTCGTACACACGAGACCGAGAAGGGCATCGGAGGCAGGGGCAGCGAGGGGGGAACATGACGAGCATGCGGGTCGGGTCGGGGTTGTGGTGGCGCGAGGGAGAGCACGTTCTGTGAGAGACGAGATGGACGGACCTTGGTGTACCCCAGGGCAGGGTAGAGGCGCTCCTCGGCGACGGATCCTGCCGTGGTGGAGAGTTGCTGTTCGGGGGAGAGGGGGGGATGTTGTCAGCCGCGAATACAAGGCGAACGAGAAATCCGGGGAGGGGGGGCAAGTGGCGAGAGGAAAGGGCAGGGGATGGCAGGGGAGGGGAAGAGTTGGAGGGGGGAAGGGGGACCGAGGAGCAGCAGCAGAGCCTCAACGCAACGCAACGCAACGCAACAACGGTCCTACATGGCCCCCACCCCTTCCCTCTCCCTCTCCTTTCATGCCACCACCATCCCACCATCATGACCCATCCTCGGTAGCAGGAGAAAAGCCGAAGCTCGAGGGCAGCGCATGCAGCAAGGGGAAAACGGGCAAAACGTACGAGCAGGGTCCTGCCTCGCTGGCGGCCGGCGTCCTCGACCGCGGCCATGAGCCGCTTGCCCAGGCCGGCGCGGCGGTGGTTCGGCGAGACCATGAGCATCTCGACGTCGGCGCGGAAGGGGCCCGTGTCGGTGTCTGGGGTGGCGAGCTCGACGACGCCTGCGATGTCTATGCCTGCGTTTACGTCGTTGTCATTGGCGTCATGGTTACCGCTGCCCTGATGCTCTGAAGCACCATCACCAGCGCCAAGTCCAACACCACCAACACCGCCACCCCCAGCATTCACGTCAGCACCAGCGCCAGGCACAGGCACAGGCGCAGGCACGGAAGCGGCAGCTGGCAGGGCGAGCAGGACGACCCTGCGCCCGGCCTCGGCCTGGGCGACGCGCTCGTCCCAAAAGAGCCGCATGCGCTGCCACTGGGCGGCGCCAAAGGGCGGGTGGAAGCGCATCAGGGCGCCGTCGAACTGGATGCAGGCGACGTGCAGCGCGACGAGGGCGTCGACGAGGCGCCGCCGGTGCTGCTCTCCCTGGACCCGATAGTAATAGCACTGGTCCTGGTTGTCCTTTACTTGCTGAAGGCTCTCAGGATGCGGTGCGGCGGCGTTGCCATCTTGGCCGGGCTCGAGGCCGGCGGGCGCCACCACCACCAGGGGCACGATTCGATAGGCGCTGTGTGCCATCGTGGGGCACCTCTTCGTCGTGGGAGTCGCTCTGGGCCGCTTGTTTCAGACGGCCGTCGTTGTTGGTTCGTGGCGTGGCGGTGGTGGTGCTGGTTGGTGCGTCATGGCCGTGGCTGTCGGTGACGTCGAGCGAGAGGGGGACGGGGACTGTTGTTACACGACGATGGGCGATTCACGGACGTGGGGGGCCGTGTAGGCCGGGCCGCGTGAAGACATTATCACGAGTTGCCGCCGCCGTTGTTAGTGTTAAGTGGAGGCACAGTAACTCTTTCAAGAGAACTGGAGCAACAGCAGCGCGTCGATTTTCACGAACAGGGAACACGATAATCGTGTTACTTTTTACGTCTGAAATATATCTCGTGTCTTATACGACATTCCTCGCGAGTTCGGTCTCCGCCTGTCCAATGCATAGACAGAAGTCGACGTCCGTCCTTGCCATTACCGAAAAGAGCAACCGAAACTCGGACACCGACACCGAAGAGTCCCAAGTCCCCAAGACCCAGTCTCGGGAGGGGCGGCGCGCCACACTGCCATAGACAAATCCATGGACACCGATCGTCGGCCCACCGAAACAATATTGGGGCTGCCCGTTCCCAGCCCGGCGGAAGCCATCGCAAGCCCGGCAAGCCATCGCCCCCAATGAATCCCCGATTGATTGGTTTCCCCAGGGCAAAGCTGCAAACTCTCTCTCACACACACACCCCCCGGGATGGTGGGGGAGGAGAGCGGCCGGGCCGGGTCGGCCCAACGCGCGCTCGTGTGTGTGGGCGGCGGCAAGGCAGCCCAGCGGCTTGAAACAAAACGAAAACCCCCCCAAAACGCCCAATCCTGCACTTTTGACAGCGGCGGCAGAACGACGTGTGCGCTTCTTGTCAAAGTGCAGACACAGGACAGGACACCAGCAGGCAGGCTGCGCCCGCTGGCGAAGCGCGTCACCAACCCCTGCTCGGGGTCTGCGGATTGGGCCGACGGCAAAAAAGGGTCACACGGGGGCTTGCATTGCATGGCTTCCTGCATGATAAGTCAGCCGGAGCAGTAGGACTCATCCGTGTCGCTCGTGGGCTCTGCGGCGCGCGGCGAGGAGGCGCTCACTTCGAGGGCCTGGTGGTGTAGCCGCCATCCTGGCGCGTGGGTGTCTGGGGAGGTAAGGTTGGCCGGGACCAGATATCAAACGTCTTGCTCTTTGCTCTCCTGTCTGTCAGTGGCGCTGCGGCACTGCAGAGCACGACGATACCGCACAGCTCTGCATCGCTCGCCTGATGCAACGCACCTCTTCACCACGTTGCGTTGCGTCGCGTCGCTGCGTCGTTGCCGTCTCGGTGGCCGCGCCGCCGCCCCTCCCCTCCGTCACACGGCAGTTGTTTGCCTCACGACGGTAGTAGTATGTAGTATGTATCAAAGTCCCCCTGTCCCCTGGACGGGTGGCGAAAAACGAAACGTGAATGGACATCAACACACCGAAGGCCGGTGGGAAGAGACATAATAATGACGTTCAAGGCGGGCGTGCATGCGTGAATGGATGGATGGATGGATGGATGGATGAATGCCCGGTAAGCAAGCGCAAGCACTGTAGCCGCAAGTGCAAATGCAACTGCTTTGCTCCTCCGTCCCTCTCCGCGCGACGGCGACAACAACTCCTTGCCCTGGCGCTCGCCTTCTACACCGTCGCCGTTACACGGCCTCGGGCGAGGCGACCAACAGATCGCAGCTACGTCTTGTATTGTCGTCACCACCACTCACCACCACCACATCATCGTGAATTCGTGACTGTCGACGCGTCAGGATACGACGTGGGGGAGGAAATCGGGCCTCGGCGCAACACGACGATCTCGAGACCCAGCCGTGCAAACCGGGGATTCTCTTTCTTCGCACGTCTGCACGCGGCGTGGCACCGAAGTCAAGACGACGCAGGGCGGACACCGTGAGACGACGACGACGACAACGACACTGCCGCAGAGGCACACACTCACAGGCCCTCAGACACGGACGACAGTTCCGAAGCATGTCGTGCGCGCGCCGCGGGTGTCGCAAGCCAGAAAAGCCCGCGGCGTCTTTGTCCTACGCACCGGGACGGCGAGCGCTCGCCCGCGCCCGTTTCACCCCCCATTCTAGAACACCTCGATGTTTCTCGACCGGGGGGAGTGAGGGAGTGAGGGGAGGAAAAGCCTGTGATAGTACAGCATCAAGATTCAAGACATCGAGACACTCAAAGAGGCTCAATTGTGGTCCCCGCTCAACCTCCAGGCCCGCGGCCCCGAAGCCCCTGGACAATTGGCGGCGCCCCGCCCGCCCGGCGCCGCGAATCGCATCGTCCCGCCCGGCGTGGACTGGGGCCGCCGTCGTTGTCTGGTCCCTCGTCATTGTCTTCAACGGGAGGCAGGATGGCAGGCCAAGAGAGGCGTCCGTCCCACCCGCACCCCTCCTCCCCAAGCAAATCGCCGCTGCTGCGTGCATTGCATGGACAGAACTTGACTTGACGTATTCTATCTGCGTCAGCTGGCGCCGCCGCCCGTCGCAAGAGTCCAATGACTCTAATTGTAAAAAATACCCACGCGCAGTGTGAGAGCTGTCTCTTATACACATCTAGATGTGTATAAGAGACAGGTGTGAGAGAGAGAGAGAGAGAGAGAGAGAGGCCACCAGTGACGACCACCCCCCGGGACCGCAGCCAATGGGTCATGCCTTCGCCCCCTCCACAGCCCATCAGCACTTGAGGCTGCATGCATCGGGCCAACCCAAGCGAGCAGCCAGACCTTGGACGCCGTCGCGGGCTGCAGCGAGGCGGCCCTCGAAACCAGCCAAAACGAGGCTGCACCCATGGTGATCGGGCGTACATTTCATGTAGGTGGGCAGTTACTGTATGTACCAAGTCTGCAGCCCATGCTTGTCGTACAGTACTACTTATGTAGAGGCCATTGGGGTACATGCTTCATGTACTACTGTACTTGAAGAGATACTCGCAAACGTGTGGACTGCAGTGTACAGACTGCATGTATGTACGCCGCAGAGGTACTGAATTAACCAAGTCTGCCCACCCATCGACGCCGTCCCATGCGGGCCCCCTCCCCTCCCTCTCCCTCCTCCACACTGCTCCTTCCAGTCACTCACTCACCCAGCCTGCGCCGCATCGCCGTCCTCTTCGGTATGTCCAGCACCCGCGCTGTTAGGCAACAGGTTGCCTCGTTTGGGAGCCGCTCGACGCTGCTCCCTTTGCGGTCTGCCCCCGGCCGGCCCAGGCTTCCATGGCATCCATGGCAGGCAGACAGGCGTGAAAGTGCTGGTCCCTGATGCCGTCGTCGGCCGCGGCCCATTGAGGCATACACGCCGGTGTTCGTCTCGTCCCGAACGCCAGAGCGAACGGTCAAACGCTCCACATGGCCCCTCACCTCCGATGAACCACGATCCGCCCGCTGCAGATGCAACAATGCGGCCCTGCGGTACCGTCCAGGCAGCCGCCCATGTGCGGCCCTGCGCACCAAAAGCATGACAGGTACATACAGTCTGCAGACTACAGAGTACATACCACAGATGACAAACAATACACAGACCACAGCGGCTCCAAACGCCCGCCATCCCTGTCCGGCGTACATGAAGCCGGCCCACGATCGCCGACCCGGCGGCAGTGACTCTTCCTCATGAGCGGCGGCAGACCAGTCGTTGACGAGACGAACGGAACGCCCACTCACCGAACAAGCTGCACATTTTCTGGCGTCGCACACCCCTACCCAATTCCACGCCGCAGCTGCCCTCTCTCTCTCTCTCTCCGCCCAGCCGGGAAGAGAGCCTCGACGAAGCGCATCGCCACACCCTCTCTTGCGCCCCTTCCACCCCCCTCCCTTGGCCCACGCCTCGGCCACGTATGGCACACACATCACGCTCCTCGGTCTTGACCGCCTCACTCTGCGACGCCATCTCTCTGTCTCTCTCTTTGGGTGTCTCTCTCACTCCGTCTCCCACGCTCCCGGGCCCAGCCAGGCAGCGCTCCCCCCGTAGGTGGCGTGAACCGCAGCGCGCGCGGCACTAGAGCAGAGCCGTATGTGCGTGGGCATGTAAGTGCGTATGTATGTATGTATGGATGGATGGATGCCATGCGCTCTGCCCATGTGCCCTGCCGCCACGACTCATAGAAATACCCACCGTCCTGCCCCCAGATCCCGTTCGTCTTATGCTCCGGATGGACAGTGCTCAAGTCAATCCTGCTCCACTCGTTCGCCATCCGTCATGGCAAACCTACCACCCGGTGTCATTCAACTGAATGGCCCCAATGGGCCTGCTGCTCCTCGACAGCAAGCCAACGTCCCTCCTCCACCTCCTCCCGCGCCGACTCCTCCTGCCCATCCCCTTCACGGGAGGCCCATGGGCCCAATGCCTCCGCCTCCCATGCCCCAGATGCCGCACCAGGCGATGCCCCAGCCTATGCCACAGCCGCAGATGCCTCAAATGCAACAGCCCCAGATGCCGCCCCAGCACAGACCGCCGCCCATGATGAACGGCCATCAAGCTTTCCCTCAGCCCATGAGCGGCCCTCACATGGCTGCTGGCAATGCGAACATGGCCGCTCGCCCACCCGTTCAGCGGCTACCGCCAGAGCGCCGAGCCAAGCACTCTGTCGAGATATCTGACCTACGTCTCAAGAACCCCACCGAGGCCGACGCGCGCCAGCTCCTATCCAGCATCATCGTCGTCCGCCACGAGAAGTGGACCAGCCCCAACGAGCTGGACGAGGAGGGGTACCCGGCGACGCCGTCATGGGAGCGCGTAACACGCACAGAGGAGGCCGACATCTCGCAGCACGAGGCCAACCGAAAGATCCGTGAGCTGGCCAAGGAAGGCTCCGTGGTCGACAAGAAGGCCAGCCTCCACGAGCTCATCCAGCGCCAGCTGGAGGAGACCCAGGCCCACCTGGAGGAGACGGACCCCGACCCCCGATACCGATACATCTTGACCCAGCTGGACTGGAAGATCAAGAAAATCGAGGAAAACTCCACCCTGTACCACAA